ATACCTATATAGATTATATTTGTGCCCATTGTAATTTTGATCGCTCTTGCTAATCCTAATATCATATTTCCAAATTGAGCTGTTAATAATATAATATGAGTTATTAATAATTAAACAATCTTATTTATTGAACAATTACACTTAAACACATTAAAATAACATTTTTATATATAAATAAGCTTAACAAATAGCGTATACGTACATGTGACATACATAAATATATATTTTATAATAAAAATTTAACTTAATTCAAATTTGAACTCAGATATGTCAGATATCTAACTATGTTTATAATTCTATTAAAGATGTTACATTTATTTTATTTTATTTTTATATTTTTATATAAAAGAATGTTTACATAGAAATTTATATTCTATATCTCTGCGCTTTGATCTGAACGATATTATTTTTGGCTTTATGAGAAGGTCATGGATAAAAATGTATTCATCATGTGCAGAGGAGTAAAAGTTATCACTATAGTTAATCAATCAAACATTAACGAGAAGATATAAAAGATTATACTAAAGAAGCTGTCAGATATTATATACTGAAAAAGATTAACGAAATTTACTTGGACGATAAGAACATTATACGAAATAGTAATGAATCGTGATGAATGATGTTTATGTCATCATCATTGCCATAACGGATTTCGCGCTTTTTCAAAAAGTCTAATGATTCATAATCTATTTATAAACCTTATGATAAATGACATCGCGTATACTGAAATAGCTGTGAAAAATGAGAAGAACATGTATATTGGATTAACGGATGCTGTTATGGAGCGATATAAAGAAAAAATAAAACGTCATTTTGCAATTGCTGGAAAGGGCGATAAAATTGTACGAATGTGAATGTTATCTTATCTATCATTGTCATAATGTGACATGTATGATGTAATTTATAGGAGCATTTCAATATATTATTATACGGTCCTCGTGAAGGAGAACTTGTACGAAGCCAACTTTGATCGCATTGAACAAATTTACCGGATGAACTGCAAGATATTTACTTCACCGATTGTTCTGGAACTCGGAGGACAGCGGATACTTCATCACAGTCGAGAATTCTCCGATGATTCTACGAATGAAAGACAGTACGCTCGTTTGCTCTTGTGGTAATTTTAGTTTGGTCATTAAACACCGAGTACTTTAATACGCAATCATGACAGTTAGGTCAAGTAAACGAAGCCAAGCAAAGCCGCATTCTGCCGTAAAGATCATAATACCCAAATATTTACAGAATCTGTTAAATGTCTCATTACACTCGGTTATAATGATATAGATCTTCAACATAGTTTAGATGTCACATTCTAGGTATTGTATGTAAAGATAAGGGAACACCGATACTGCAAATTAATAAACTTTGAAAAATGTGAAATAATATAATGTCTTTTATTGCAGAGAGAGAAAGAGAGAGAGGCTCACGACGGCATGGAGTTATCTAGTAATTCAATCATATGCTCCAACCTACTGTGGCCAGTGGTCTATTTGGATTACAGCAAATTCAGAAATATATATAAAGTTGAACAAATTTGATGCGCATTTTACAAATCTATGGACAGTCCATTGTTTTGAAATTAAAATGCTCGAATATCACAGGATCACACACAGTTGGAAAAAATGTGTTGAATTTAACATAAATCGCATGTCCCAAACGGTCCACTCAAATTTTTGAGTTAATTTTATACAAGATGAATAATTGAATATATTAGAAGGTAACACAAATATTATGTAAGAGAATAAATACAAAGAAAGATAATATCGACATAGTTTGTAAACATACCGTGGGAACATATTTATTTTCAGAAAATTAACATTTATAATATGTTAAATTAACACATATTTCATTCATTTGTTTTAGAATTTACATTTTAAAACACATTATTATTACTTCTTCACTTACTCATAAATTGTGTCATTTTGACACTAAGAAATATTGAATATCAATTTCACAAAAAATCTTTAAATAGCATAATCACATTATGTCAAATTAACACTCGAATATGTTAAAAAATTCACAAACTATTAACACAAACGTGAATGGACCGTTTTCAACACAAATACACAAAGTTTTTTACTGTGCAGGTATGTGCTTTTGCTTCTTATCTAACGATAAAAGGTCTCATTAACGATAAAGTTCTTATAAACTTTAGATGCTCTCGGCATTTTTCAGTGGTTTTTTCTTTCCAGATTCATACAACAGAAAAGCAAGCTTCGAAGAACCGATTGAAATCCTGAATATCTGACATCTGTAAAAGTCTTCATAATATTGATGAGAAGCAATACAGCTTTCGAAACCATAAAACTTTTATTCGTCATATTTTTTGTCATAATAATATTTCTCATTATTTTGGCGATTCGATTAGAAACGTAAAGATCGATTTTTTTCAAGAGAGTGTTTTCCTAAAATCGAATATCAGTAACAGCAAAAAATTGTTTCTTGATTAGGTTTAACTACTTTATATTATGTAATAGATTTTTTATTTTACACGTGCCAAACTTTTATCAGTCACTGTAACGTCATAAATCAATCGTAGTTGTATTCACAAACGTGACTAAATTTATAACATATCGCATCCAAATAAGTAAATGTATTGATACATTCGGTGTGATATACAACAGCGCAACGACGCAATAATCCAACGTTTCTGCTGCATTGTAAGCATTTATCTTCATTCTGAATAAAGTGTTGCAAATGTACAAGAAAGAGATAAAGACATCTTTTTTTCTTTCCCTTTCTTTTTCTTCCTTTCTACTTTTTACTCCAGCTTATACTTCCTGCTCTAGCTTTTCCTCTTATTAAAAAGAACAGTTTGCGAAACGTCAAATGCCGTAAATGCCAGCCACTTGAAATGACTGAACGGCGAACATGGAACGCGCATGGTTGGATTTCTATTTTCGGCTGCGCACACGGAGTCGATTAAGGCTGATGACGGCGCGTTTGTAATCTTCAACGAGTTTGATCGTTTCCGGACACAGCGCTGACTTTAATCGCGTATCCAGTATCCGGCAGTTGATTATCACCGTTACCTTGTCGTTCTTCCATTCGAGAAATAGTTTAACAGCGCTATACACGCGTGGCCCACTCCTTCTCCATTTTCCAACTTCCGAACAAAAATAGACGGAACGCATAGGGAGTTAGTTTTAGCAATCGTTTCTGAGACTCCGCCGTACCATTGAAGTCTTCAGAAAATTGTAGGGTTAAAAAATAAAAAATCGCTATTTTCTGTTCAGGTATTAACGCTCAGTATTATGTATGTTTACGCTTGTTTATGGTTGTTCATTGTATTTGCTGTATAATATTGTATTATTTATTTAATTTATCGCCTTACAATAAGTAAAGCATAATTAAGGGAGAATTGGCACAGTTTTCACAATTTCGGCATTGGACTTTTTAAATAATTAATTATTATAGTTAAAGTGTACTAATATGATGGGGAGAACCTTTCTTTACATTTTCATGCCAGGAATGGTTTTGTACACTGTATAGTTTCTTTATAGTTAGGTTTGTAGTTAAGTGAAATATGAACATGCCGCATTGTAGCCAGTTTACCCCGATAGTGAAGTAAATTGATACATCACGGTGTAAATTGCCTATACGATAACCTTCATACTAAATTAATAAAAATTTAATGGAAATGAAAAATAGATCACAAATACTTCTAGATAGAGATTATATCTTTTCAAGTTATTTTATAATCGAAAAAACAAGAGTAAGCTATTTTATATTTAACTTATAAAAATATTAAATATTAAATAAAAAAATATAAATATAAAAATATTAAATATATTTTACGAATATCTTTTTATATCTATGTTTATGGCCAAAGAAATTTACCATAAATATTCCATGATTTCTTTTGCCTTAAATACATGAACAGTTTCTCCTATTGCTGTGATATACCTTGTTTCTTTTAAAGCTCATAATAGTAATAAATATATACTACCGGAGAATGTCTTGGAAATACAATTGTGCCAAAAGCCAATATCAATATTTTATAATAATATGTTATAAAATAATTAATTTTATATATAGATATGTGTATGTACGAAATTCAATTATTAAAAGCATAAGCATTAATTTTTAGAATCTAACAGCATCGCAATGCTGCAGATCTTTTCGAAAGAGAAAAAGTTAACTGTAGTCATATCTATTTTTGCGGGACATTTCTATTTTCAATACATTATTTCTGACAAGAGTTTCTTTTAGCGCACAAGCAGGGAAAATACTAGGAAATATTTTCTCAAGATTGCTGTTCCCGAAACGCTGAGTTTCTGACACTATGTAAAATAAAATCATCGCGATTTCTTATCGCCTTTTTATCGAGCGAAACTCTTCGACAATGTATCGTCGAATAGTCATCCATCAAATACACCCCCGATTGTTATCCTCCCTCTTTTCTCCTGCTTTCATACGGAATACGAAAAAAGAAACTTCTCTTCCTTGTGAACTTATTTTCTGCTTGATTATCTTTTGGGTTTCATGACGAGGAATCACTTATGCCGATCACGCAATGGCCCCAAGGTCATCAATTAGTCTGGGTGTCAATAGAGGTGCGAAGTTCAAAATGATATAGCATCTTTCGCGCAAATAATAGGGAGAAAAAGTCACAAGTATCACTCGGTCGACGCCGAAAGTGAAAGCGAGGATCTCAAGGACTTCGTCGGATCCTCTACAGTCACCTCTCCATCCCCTAATTTCTCTCTCTTTCCCTCCGTTTTGCCCGCGTCGAGTATCAACTGTGGAGGTGTTTCTCGGTCGACCGAGAGATGAGGAAGGAGATCGAGGAAGAGCAAAAGGAGGAGGAAGAGAAGAGGTGTACGAGGCCGAGAAGAGGTGGGAAAGAGGAGGCAGGTCTCCGGATTAAGGATGTATGTTGGAGGTCGCGAGACGCGGATGAGGCAAGGGACACGCACACACCGGGGGTCGCGCATGCGTCCGCACCACCATCGGGTAGAGGATGTTCGACGTTTTTTTCAGTCACCGGTCGACGCTGCGCCGGGCACCGTCGTCGTCGTGAAACACGGCCGCGATCGCGCGGCGTTCAGCTGACTACCACCACCGCACCATACGTCCGCGCTCGACGTTCGCCTTGCGGACAATAGTCCGCGCTAGTGCCCTCGTGTCCGCGCGACCGACGTCGCGGTCGATAAGACCCGCACCTGGCGAGAGAGGATACAACCAGGTGGAGGATACCCGGAAGAAGAGGAGGAAGCGAAAGAGGTGGTGGTGGTGGTACAGTGAATTAGCTCTCAGCCACGCGCTTCACGTGTTCCTCTTCCGAGACTTGAAATCGCACCGTCGAAAATTGTCTCTTTCTCAAGAAGGATTTCGTGTATTTCCTGTATTACGTGACCTCGTGGCGAGGATCACAGCGCAACCACATCCTCCAGGGACATCGCGCTACCGGGGCAAGGTTACTGCGCGCTCGCCACGTCCTCAGGTGAGAAGCGCAGGTGAGAGGAATCACCGGGCAGGCGCGTCGAGAGGTGCAACTGCACACCTGGATTCGCTACATCCCCGGCTCCGACATAAGATGCGATCGGCGGGCACTCGCTCTCTACGTCAATCACGACAGTCCGGAGCAATCCGCGTCAAGCGTCGGGATTAAGACGTCGGGTGTATTGGAGAAAGAGACACTCGTCGTCATATTCGCGACGAATCAAGCACGGAGCATCCCCGATGACATCGCCGAGAACGACTGATCGTTCACGCGATTAGTCAAGAGCGAGTGCGGGAAGGGAGCCCAAACGTGCAGCAAAATCGGGCGATGAGAATCTCCCCCCGAACGGTCGAGGAGTCCCGGAATCGTCGCCTCACGCAGCCCCGGGCGCCGAGGAGGCCGCGACGTCGTTGAAGACCATCATAGTCGCCGAAGGAACGTCGCGTTCACGAGACAGAGGCACTCGAGGTACTCGAGGATGTCGCTGCACTATCCTCAGGGATACCGGTACCGATCCGCATCAAAGGCGATCAGCGGGACCGGGGTCGGCGAGCAGGGCTCCGATAGCGACGTGGCGGAGCTCAGCGACCTCGAAGACGACGAGGACGAGGATGGGACTCGCGAATCTGCCGATAAGCGAATGGTCGAGGGAGAAGACGAAGACGAGGATGACGAGAACGGTGAGAATGACGTGGACGATGAGGATGATGACGACGATGACGATGACGACGAGGATGACGACGATGAGGATGAGGAGGAGGAGGGCGAGGGTCTACCCTATCCAGGCTTCATTCCGATCGCTCTCAGATATCTCGACCAGACCACACGACCGCGCAACTGGTGTCTCGCGCTGATTACTAATCCATATCCTTTTGGTACTTCTCGACTCGGTATGGTAAACTCTGCTTTGTAGCACATACGTCGACCTACATGCACGTACATTGCGCTCCAATCAGCGTAAAAATCTAAAATACTTGTAAAAGTAATTTATTTAAAAGAAACTTTTAAGTACAATTAGCAAATTGCTTTTTGAATGTATTTTGAGCATTAGACAGTCTAATGAATTAGAATTCATTTTTCAGAGTTTTGAAGAATAAATTTTAAAGATTAGATTATTGTTCTCACACGATATTAAAAGAACGCTTGACAGACGAGAATTATCTTTTATACATTTTCACGACATTTCTTAATAATTAGGAAGTTTTTCTAGACATTTTTTTATCGTTTGTATTGTCAGCGATATGATTTATAGATAAATTTTCCTCCAAAACAGAATTAGCAGAAGCGATTATTGGATATCGAGTTTCTACGGTAGCTTTTGTGAGGGAGGCATCTTTGTGTACATTTTACGAATACAGATTTGCTTTTCATGGTCGTGGTAAGCTGATGCGAACTGTTCCAGTCGATCTTCATTAGGAATTTATTTCATCTCTCTGACTACACAAGGTTGCGCGTGCGTCAGCATTCGCCGTAGCTATCAGGATTTGTTGATTTTCCTAAGTCGTCTTGCAATGTGCAGCGTATTATCAAATAAGTTTAGACGCAAGGCAATATCGAGGCAACACTGTTTATCCAGCTGAACAAATGATCGACGGCAACGGGATTTTTACATATTCGCACTTGAACAAAATGTATGATGAATTCAATTCGATCTCAATAAATCAATCATGTTATAATATACATACATTAATGGATTGACACCTAATGTCAATACTATTTCGCGTTAGTATCTTTATAGATAAAGAGAACAAAACCACGTTAAATTAGAACAAAAAAATTATTAAATCTTTCCAACGTTCAATTAAAAGTTTGTGATGCTGTTTACATTTAACGTGTTAATAATCAAGGATTATGTACTAACATTAAATTTTTAACTGAATTTTATCTTTGAAATCAAATTAGCATAATTAGAAAAGATATTTATTTTATGGGGAAAATTGGGGTAAGAAAAATATTGTCTTTTTTGAAAGGTATATAAATTTCTCAGAGGACATGATACTTAATCCATAAAAATTCGAAAATTTGATCTAGTAGATCTCAGTATTTTCTAAAGGTGATTAATCATCCCCTATACGTCCATATATACGCGACGTCTGTGAATGTGAAATTCTTCGAAGATACGCTTGATCATTCTGTTTTCGCGCCACGTCTTTAACTTATGGAACTTCTCACGTCCTACGAACGTGCAACACTTCCGCCTCATTTGTTGAATGCAGGATCTCCGCCACTGGGCGAGTATTTGTTGCCGCGAGTAGCCCCGATTGAGTGTGGCAAACGCGGTGGTGGGTGCCGAGGGAGACCAGTCTAAAGACACCTTAAATAGGTCATTGATTGACCTATCCCCAGGCGAATCCTACTGCGCGCGTAGCCGCTTTCCACAGTGGCACAGTTCTCTCCTATCTCGTTCCTCTCAGCGGCGGCGGTGGAGGTGGTGGTTCTCCTTTTTCTGTTCCGCATACAGTTGGCGTTCTCGTTCTCCTTCTCGTCGCGCATTTTCCTCACCCTCTCGCGGCGCCAGATCCCTCCTCCGGTTCGCAGCGCGTATACGGTTGCAGCGCCTATATCCGTTTGTGCGGGAAATTATTGGGGAGAGGGCGTGCGGCGGGGGACGTGCATTGCACGTGGTGAGGTAGCGGCAGTGACGACGGCGGCGACGTCCGGGCAAAGTTTAGTCAGCCGACCATCGAAGCAACAAGCATCGAGGCAAGCGCGCCGCGTCAGAAAGATCTCCATTGTGCGCGTGAGGACAATGGGCGCAGGTTGGAGCCCGCCGTAGCACCGAATGCCAATGCGGACCTCGAGCCTGTTTCACGTTGTCACTGCGAAACCATCATTCGCTGTCCCTCACACCACCTAGTTGAAAGTCCTAGTTGAGAGCCCTAGTTACCGCACGAAATCCAAAATCCTTGATCCCCCTAGTGGGGACGACCCTCGGATACACCGAGATAACCTTCAATTTAATAGTCGAGGTTCCCGTATAAAAAATTTAATAAATTTCTATTCCTATGTACTGCGTAGTAAGCGCTCGTTCTCTTGAGGGACCAAATTGCGAGGATGCTTATGTCACGACGGAAATACATGTTCAATACGAAAACAATAGCAGAATAACGCTATTACACTAACTAAAGTATTCGAATTGCGGTCGATATTACCGCGCAACTAATTCACATTACACGAAGATTCAAGACTGGAGGGTTTCAATTTTGGAAATTTTGAGGTACATTTCACACAAGAGTGTATATGTATGTCAAACGACGGAGACCTTGACCCATCGATGGTTAATCCCAGCAGAACCAAGGGCGGGCCAGGGAATGTCAAACTGCATCTTTCCTTGAACTACTTGCTAAAATTGTGGCTTATAATTGATTATATATAACAGATTTTATTCTATTAACAATCTAACTAACTTCAATACGTAAATTAACGCGGCCTTTAATTTAATATTAATTTTGACATTAATAAAATTATAGTAATGCATTTTTTAAATATTTATACTTTATACAAAATGTATTAGCATCTTGGATGCATTTAATTCGACCTGAATAAATCAGTGATCTCGGTATAAAGTACATTATATCATATTACACTGTATATAACATAGTATTTTTTTGCATTAGTATCTTTACATATAGATAAGGAGAATCATATAAAATTGCAAAAGGACGAATAATTATGCATACCTTCAGATGTTCGATTAAATGTTGGCGATTGTCTTTTAACTTGTGCTATAATAAAAACTGATTCTAAATTAAACAATAGATTTTATCGCCTAGAATTGGGTGAAAGAAGAATATTCTTACTTTACGAAAAAAAATTGAAATATAAAGCTTGTCATCTTTTCAGGATTAATTATAATAGCTAAAAAGAATATACGTTTGCTACCTAATATATATTCTTTCGCATTGGTATTTTCATATATAGGCAAGGAAAGTCATATAAAATTGCAAAAAGATAAAGTAAATTAAAAATCAATTATGCGTTCCTTCGATTAAATGTTGACGGTGATTTTTTAACTTGCTATAATAATGAAAATTATTTCTAAATTTATTAAACTTTTAGATTTCATCTCCATAATTGAACAAAAAAATTACGAAAAAAATGGAATAAAAAATAGGATAAAAAGCTTTTCGTTTTTTTAGAACCAATTATGATAGTTATTGTTAAACAAGTTTCAAAGATTTAACCGTTCATCAATTTTCTAAAAAATAATTAATCTATTTTTATAACACGTTGCACAGTTCAAGAAGTTTATTTTACTTTGCTTATAAGTTGAGGGTTAAGCGGTTAACGCAGCTCGGATCAATAAAAAGTCATCGCAATTTTTTTTAATTCAGTAAAACCTAGAATCTGCAGAAATACTTTGTTTTCGGATTTTCTGTTTAGAGACTAAGTGCGAAATTACATGGTACACAGATTAAGTGAAACCGTTAACAGAATAAGCGGCCGTCTCTCTTTATTCAGTTTAATAGTTTATTTCATTATCTTAAGTACCATAAAACGGCTGAACAGTTATTTACGGTTTAATCTGATTACAGATATCCTCCGTATTTAATTAATCCGTTTAATTAATTCTAATACTTATTTACGTAGATAGGTTGTTTCGTTTCAAGTCTTAAAGTAATTAGTTCCTTTCAAGTCTTAAAGTCAATTAAAGTTATAAGTACGAGGATTATATACACAAAGGATGATGCATTGAATTATCTTTTATTTTTGAAAAATTAAATGATAAAATTGTTTCTTGTTTTCTTTTTATAATTATAAAATATTTTATATATAATAATTACAGAATAATATTATAAATATCTTATTTTCTATAATATTTTATTCCTTTTAAGATTTTTTTAAATGTGCGCAACTCTTTAGAATTAGCAAAACATTCTATAAAGAAGCGCGTCCATATAGGCTGACGTTATAAGTTTTAACTACTTATCATTCTTGTACGACGCATGATTGCACTACTCTACTGCGTTACTTGAATTGCATTCGAACTGCTGATTCTCACAAACAATCGAACGGGCTGCCTCTACTGCATATTAGTTTTTGTTTTTATTTCATTTCCATTCAAGCTATAAGCTCCATTATAAATCAAGCAATGCAATTATCTGCCAAATGTTCAATAAACAGTAAATGTGCTGTTTTTTAATGAATTGATTGCGTTGCTATATATATAAAAATAAGAACAATGTCATATAGACGTGTATTGTTTCACTCACTTTTATTTTGGTTTGGTAAATATTTATTATTTAAATATAACTCTTGGAATGACCAAATCTACTACGGGGGACTAAATAAGTATTGAAATATTTATAGAAAGAGACGATTTCCTTCCGCAGGTGCACGTTGGGAAAAAAAATATTGGATATTAAAAATGTATTAAATTTGTCACTCTAAAAAGATGGAAGCCTGGAAAATGTAATGGGAAAAGGATACGTAATATCGTGCAATATTTGCAGCACGTATTTCGCTAACGGTGAACGTAATACTACTGTAAGTAGGTGTTAACTTTACGTGGTACGACAGCCATATTTCTGCGGTGAGCAATGTGATATTGCGGCTACAATCAAAAGTGGTAGATCGAACGGTCCAGTCTCAAGAGCGGGTTTCCGTTGATCTCTCCGTTTGTGTTTTCGCGCAGTTTTTCATCTTCTTTCACTAAATCCTCTCGGCAATTTGTCATCGATCGATGATGAATACAGGTCAGAACGTTTGTAGGACCGGGGAAAAATAATCGAGTGACTAAAGCGAAGTAAACGAGGCAATCATCCGCGGCCTCGAACGTCGCCGGAAGCGGCAGTCGATCGAAACAATTTGCTCGGCCGCCTCGGCCACTTGATTGTCTATTAAGCACCGCGTAAATGAGCACC